TTTCACTTTTCTTATTTTCCTATTCCTGAGGATCATTTAACCTGTCCCAATATTCTCGGTATGAAGCTAAAAATAAGAGTTCTTAAAATTAACTATTTACTTCCTCATTCTTAGCACTCCTACCTCTCTCATTACAGTACTTTCTACTATTCTTTTCTCTAGGTCTTAAAAGTTGTTTTCCTAACAATCCCATTCTAGACTCTTACCTAACACTGCTTATTTTACTTGTGACTAAGTCTATACTAATGGATATATTTATGCAGATGACTGCAAATTTTGGATATTTGTATCTCAGTTTACTGGATTTCTTCAAGTGGGTGTACAACATAGTTTTAATATTTCTGTTCAATTTTCCTTTTTTATCCTAGGTTTCCTCACAGTAAGTGGCACCACTATTCTCTCAGTTTCTGTTACACTTTGGACTTATCTTAACATTCCTTCCCTGTTATACTCCCTCAATATCCAATCACTAAGTTCTGCTGATTCTCTCTTACAAAAAACTCCTGAAATCTCTCCATGTTTATCTTCCTTACTGCCACCTCTGTAATACAAGGCTGTAAAGATCTTTGTCTTATCAATAATTACTTTACAATCTTTAGTCTTGCTCCAGTGCAATCCATTCTATACTGTAGCCAGTGTGATCTTTCTAAGGTAAAACTCACTAATGGCTTTCAGTGTCGTCATGATAAAATGCAGACTAACTCTCCCAACAGCCTTGCCAAAAAAGCACAATTTTAATATCCTTTCAATTCCTTCTTCTACCTTGTATCTTTCACCTACTCAAGTCACACTGATTAACTATCATGTCCAATGAACCACTTTGTGTGAAGCCTTGCAAATATCACTCACTGTCTACTAACCAGTTTCCCTTGATCACTTTATCTAGCAAGCCCCTGCTGAGTTTCTGAATGTAGGTCAGTTACTCTATTAAATGTGTTTCATAGCACTTCTTGTATCTTCCATGTGTTTTAAAATATACTTCGTATCCTATTAAGATTCTTTATTCAATGCTATATTCTTAGCAGAACAACAAAGACAGGTTTACAATGTTTTATCTGAAATTCAAAATGCTCTAAAAACAAGTATTTTCATGTGGTTGTGTTACATGACACACTTTTTGTTGCAACCTGGCTTGAATCAACATTTATCCACCATCCACTGCCCCAAACTGAATGTTCATTATCCACCAGAGAAATACTCCTAAATTGATACAACGCCTTAATAAGAACGTAAAATGATGTGGCAAATCTAGTTTTTCACCTTTCTAAATTCCAAATACATTCTGAAACCTGAGGACTTAATATTAAAATTTATCAATCTATACTTATTTCTGGCAGTGAAAATTACTATTAAATTATATTACTGACCGATAATGAATGATATATGAACAAGCAATATCTACAATGAAAATTATAGCCTTGACTGGGTGGCTCAGTTGGTTGGAAGCATCATCCCTACGCCAATGGGTGGTGGATTCAATTCCCAGTATGGGCACATACTCAGGTTGTGGGTTTGATTGCCAGTTGGGGGAACATATAGGAGACAACTGATAGATGTTTCTCTACCACATCAATGTTTCTCTCCTTCTCTATCTAAAATCAGTAAAACATATCCTCAGGTAAGGATTAAAAAAAAGTAATAATAAAAAATAAATAAATAAATGAAAACTACAAAACAGGATTTTGGGGAGTTATTAAATTTGGTAGTTTCAGCACTGGTAGGTATGGCCCAGCTGGCGGGAGTGTAGTCCTATGCAGCAAAAGGTGGCCTGTTCAATTCTGGGTGAAAGCACATCCCAGGTTGCAGTTTGATCCCCAGTTGGGGCACGTGTGGGAGGCAGCTGATTTGATGTTTCTCTCTTCCCCTCTTCCTTTCTCTTTACAATCATAAAATAAAATAAAAACAATAAAATAAAATAAATAAATAAAGTAAAATAATAAAATAAAAAATAAAATGAAATAAAATAAACACAAACACATTTGGTAGTTTTAAACGAAAAACAGGAATAAAAAAAAGTTTTCACTTATGCTTGTGTGATATCCTTTGCTTTCCTACAAATATCTTACAATTTCAGTTATAGACAGGAAAATAAATTAGACACAATAACAGAAAGGAAAAAGTAGGATTTTCTTTCAATTAAGTAAATCATAGTTGGCCCCGCTGGTATAGCTCAGTGGTAGAGCGCTGGCCTATGTTGTGGAGACAGCAGTTGGGATTCCTGGTCAGGCACATGCCCGGGTTGCAGGCTCGACCCCCAGCATGGGGTGTGCAGGAGGCAGCTGATCAATGACTCTCTCTCCTCATGGATGTTTCTCTCTATCTCTCTCTCCCTTCCTCTCTCTGAAATTAATATTTTAAAAATATCATAATTGATTAATAGCTAATTAAGTTCATACAGATAACACTGTAAGAGGAATGCATGGGCATTAAAACATAATTTTGGATACAAAATATGTGTAATTTTGAAAAAGTAAATCAAAACAGTCTAACTTGGTAAGTCAATTCCTCATAAAAATGAAACCAAATTATACATTAATATTTCAAAACTTTTAATTAGAATGCATCTCAAAAAATTAGTAATTTTGAGTGCTTGGTTCACTATCATCTAAATCACTGATGTTCATTTTTTAATTTTTTTTTGCCACCAACAATTTACTCTTTTTCCCCTAATAAAAAATGATTTAAAAGAACACTGAAAATATTAGAAAACTTCTGATATTCTTAGCTATCCAGACATTTATTCAATAAATAGTGACTGGGTGCTACTTTGAAAAGCCTTGGTCACAAGAATTTTGCAGTCTGGTTGGGGAGTAAGACAAAAAACTTATAAATTATAAAAATGCAATGAAGCAAAACAAAATAATACAGCATGTTGCTTTAAAAAAAAAAGTTTTTATTGATCTTAAGAGTGGAAGGGAGAGGGAGAGAGAAATATCTCCAACTGGCTGCCTCCTGCATGCTCGATCACTGGGGATCAAGCCCAAAACCCGGCATGTGCCCTGACCAGGAATGGAACTGTGACCTCTTAGTCATGGGTTGATGCCTGGGCCATAAGTTTTTTTAAGATAAGAATCTGGAACCACTGAGTAGAAAGAATAGGTGCAGACTAGCCTAAAAAGGGTATCTTGAAAATGGTAGTTATTAATTGATTTCAAAGAATAATTTAAGTGAACAGTTTATGTACATTATCAACAATTTAAGTTCATTTAATTCTAACAAAAAAATTATGTACAGGCCAATTTCTTTAGGAAGTGATTCCTAAACCTGACAAGCACAACAACCTGGTATTCTTTAGAAAATACAGATTTTTTTTTTTCTTAAAGGTATGGATTGCTCTTTTTTCTTTTTTTTAAAAAATATATCTTTATTGATTTCAGAGAGAGGAAAGGAGAAGGAGAGAGAGAGACGGAAACATCAATGATGAGAGAGTCATTGATCGAGCCCACAACCCGGGCATGTGCCCTGACCGGGAATCGAACCTTGATTGCCTGGATCCTAGGCTAAAGCTCAACCAGTGAGCAATGCCCCGCCGGGCCAGATTTTTTTTTTTTTAGTCTTTGGAATTCAAATTCAGATGATAGGGCATGCACATAATCTGAAAATCCGATTTTTGAGATGAGAATTAAGAAATAAAAACATGAGCCTGGCCGGGAGTGGCTCAGCAGTTGAGCGTTGACCTAGGATCCAGGCGGTCAGGGTTCGATTCCCAGTCAGGGCAAGTGCCCGGGTTGTGGGCTTTGTCGCCCAGCAGGGGGCCTGCAGGAGGAGGCTGATCAATGACTCTCTCATCATTGATGTTTCTATCTCTCTCTAGTCCTCTCCTTTCTTCTCTCTCAAATGAATAAAGATATATTTTAAAAAACAAAAATAAAGACATGAGTTAGATAGTTTCTGCCCTTAAATGACCATACTATCAAGGAGATAAATGTATTACCTTAAAGTATCAAGTGAAAATTTGCCATTAAGAAGTTATATAGAAAGCCCTGGCCCCATGGCTCAGTCTTTAGAGTGTGGGGCCTACAACTGAAGGGTGGCTGGTTTGCTCCTGGCATAAGTCTGGGGTGTGTGTGGGAGACAACAGTAGATAGCTGTGTCTCTCTCACACTGATGTTTTTCTCTGTCTCTCCTCCCTCCCTTTCCGTCTCTATGAAAAGGAAATGAAAAAAATACTCTCAGTTCAGAATTAATAACAAGAACAGCAAAAAAGTTATCCCAAAAATCTGCAATGGGATTTTTTAAAGTCATCAAACTTTTTTAAAAAAACTATAGTTTATTGATTTTGAGAGAGAGAGGAAGGAAGAGGGAGAGAGAGAAACATCAATGTGAGGGCAAAACAAAACAAGGATCAGGTGCATCCTGCACACCATGCTGCCTACAGGGGTGGGGGTGGGGAATCAAACCAGAGACCTCTTGGTGCACTGGAGGATGCCCAACCAATTGAGCCCCACTGGCCAGGGCTGAAATGGCTTTCAAAAGTATGAATAGAGAATATTGCTTCTATTAGAAAAGATAAGATGTCATCATTGCATTAAAATGCTTTCATCATTTAACACATAAATATAAAACAATACATTAAAAGTTCTTACCTAAATTTGCATACATTACAAACAGATTGAAATACTGTTGTAAATGACGGCCATGCTCTGAAACTTCCCTTCTCAGGAGATTTAATACTGCTCTTAATAAGTGATCACTCAAGCTTAAGTTATCACATGTCTGTAAAGGATAAGAGATTTTATCAGCAATGAGATGCAAAACATTGTACTTCTATTTACATAAAAAAGGATTATATTCATATAAATGGCTACATTAGTCACAAATGTAAGAAAGGGAATTATTAAATATAGTTGCTTTTGAAGAGGGAATGAAGAGCTGGGATAGATTTCATTACAGATGTTTTTTATACTGTTAAAACTGTAAAATACTCAAAACAAATCATGTGCATAGTTTCACCCCAAAAATGCTAATTAAAAGAAGGATTTAAACTTAGCCATTAAAAAGTCAAGCTTAACTGAACATACAGAATCTGAAGACTTACTGCATAACTACAAGTAACAGAATAAACAGAAGAAATTTTCCTTGTCTTTAAAGTGCCCAATGATCATTTACTCATTACTATAAAATAATTTTAATGAACTCAACAATGTATGCATGCACTTGTGTATGGTAAATATGTCAAGCAGATGTGCATGTCTACTGATATGACCTTGCAGAAAACAATTTACTTGTAAATACTTCATTATTACAAAAAAACCTTTTACCTGACCAGCAGGTCCTGGAGATGAGAAAGATGAAGGACAAGGCCCATCTTGTAAAGAAAAATGTGCAATAAATACTATAAGTTTTGCAAAGGCACTCCTCACTTCTGCACTAGGACACTCCAGAAGGTATTCAGAGAAGCGATTTGAAACATTAAAAAGGACATTATGAGCAAACCAAAAACGTACATTCTTGCTGTGACGAAGTAGAATGCACAGCACATCATACCTAAAACAAAATATATATGAAAATAAATTTTTATTAATATGCTTCCATTTTGATTGCTATAGTGAACCAGTAGATTTTTAGAAAACGAAGTGGAAAGATCTTCTGTACAACTAATGGTCATGGATGGTTGTAGCACAACTATCAGTCTGTGACTTGATCTAGTACCATAGTCAGAAAATGAACTAAATGAGAACTTGTATAGATGAATACAAATCTATTATCAAACTCTTTCTTCATCCAGATATCTTCTTAATGTCTTCTAACCTGCAAGGTGCTAATAAAAGTTGTTAGACAAGGTATTATAATGTCCTCCATACTTTTATAATTAGAAACATAAGGCTATAACCATTTAAAAATCACCTACCTTTATAAACATAAGCCAGAATTCCCTCTAATAAAGATAAAGCTTAAGCCCTAGCCGATTTGGCTCAGTGGTTAGAGCGCTGGCTGGTGGACTGAAGGGTCCCAGATTCTATTCTGGCCAAGGGCAGGTACCTTGGTTGCAGGCTCAATATCCCACTCTGGTCAGGGTTGTTTCTGGAAGCAACCAATCAATGTGACACATCAAAGTTTTTCTCTCTCTCTCTCCCTCTCCCTCCCTGCTTTTCAGTATCTCTGAAAAGCAATGGAAAAAATATCCTTGGGTGAGGATTAAAAAAAAAGGTAAACTTAATATTTCATGATAAAATAGACAAAAGATATAATAGAAACAGCCAATTTTTTAAAATAAAAGGCAAACTAAGCAATTTAATACAACTTCTCTCAAAATTATTGCCAAGATTTTTATCCTACATTTGACATTTGAAGTTATATTCCCTTAGGGAAAAATAAAGCCCTATAATAATGATTAAACCAACTATAAGGATAGTATGAACAAAATGCAAAGTCAAGCCCAGTCCAGGTAGCTGGGTGGGCTAAAGCATTGTGCTGATGCACCAAGGTTGCAGGTTTGATTCCCAGTTGGCACATACAAGAGTAAACCAATGGCCTGGTCAGGCATAGCTCAGCAGTTGAGCGTCAACCTAGGATGCAGATCAAGGTTTGAATCCTGGTCAGGGCATGTGCCCGGGTTGCAGGCTTGATCCTCAATCAGGGGCGTGCAGGAGGCAGCTGATCAATGACTCTCTCATCACTGAAGTTTTCTCTCCCTCCGTCTCTTTTCCTCCCTCTGAAATCAATCTATCTATGATCTATCTATCTATCTATCTATCTATCTATCTATCTATCTATCTATCTATCTATCTATCTATCTATCTATCATCATCATCTATCATCTATCTTCATCATCATCTATCTATCATCTATCTAATCTATCTATCTATCATCTATCTATCTATCATCATCTACATAAATAAATTAACCAATGAATGCATAAATAAGTGAAACAATAAACTGATTTCTCTCTCTAAATAAATTAAAAAAAAAAAAGGCAAAGCCATGTACCAATCATTGGCAGGGCCACGGACTATTTTCTTGGTGTGAAATCCAGTGGTAAAGAGGAATCTAGCAGCAAGTTGAATAGTAATCATGGTTATTTCTTCTGCCTCAGGCAACAACTGATCTTGTCCTTGAATAAAAAACACACATAAAATAAAATAAAAACTTTGTTAGAATGTATTTAAACAAATGCTCCATCTTTACAAAATCTTAGCTAAAAGCAAGCTTTAGTGGTTATCTTAGCACTTCTCCAAAGTATGCTTCAAACTGTTTGGGGCAAAACAATTGTTACAAATAAAAGCTCTCCTATGTTTTCAGATATTGACTGCCACTATTCAAAGGCATAGGCATCTGAAATATTTGACTTTGAACTAAAAATGCTGACATGTTAAAACTGGAATGATTTCAAGACTAATAAATTCAAGAAAAAAAAGGGGAAATCTTAAAAAACACACACCACTAAATACACACATTGATGAACAGTAAGTCCTGTAAGAGAAGTAAAAATTATTCTTTATTAATAAGAAGCTAAATTCTAGAAACTTACCTGGAGCAGGGCTTAAGTAAATACCATTACATGTAAGAAGTTTTTTCATAAACTGAAAATATTCTAAACTGTACTGCATTCGGTTATGCATGAACTCCACATTTTGTTTCCATACACTTCTTTCAATGGCTGGTGACATAATCTGCTGGGGTCTTGTGATAGTTAGATCTGATATATATCTTATCATCTCATCATCTTCGTCTATTGTGTCCATTCGTTCATAAAAAAGTATATACGCATTCCACCACCTTTTCTGCCGCCTGTATGACATGCGCTTCATCATATGATCAAATACTTCTCCCATGTACTCTCCACCAAAACAATGATTTTTCATTTCTTCATCATCATCCATTTTACACTCTGTTACATCTCCATCATCGAATTTATACCAGCGATTTCTCTTACCATCTTTACCATTTCTCTGAATGATGTAAGAGTAATAATGTCCACCACTTGCTTGACCACTGTGTACAAGCACACCTACAAGTCTGTATTTTGTGCTTTCTGCTGTCTCACTTTCAGACTGTACATTCTGTGATATCAACTGACTGTCTGTGTTTACATTTTCTCCTTCCAGCTTTGCAACACCTGGTACTGTATAAGGTTCCATATCCAGCTCTCGTGGAAATTCAAAATAATCATTGAATTTAATTGCACATTCCCTTTCCCAGTCATAGTCAAATCGTTTCAATTGGATAGCAAGAACAGGAGGCAATTTTTTAATTAACAGGCGCTTTACTGTATCAACCTACAATAAAAAGAAAATAAAAATGTTCTTTTATAACTCAAGCACAACAGAGTACTTTAATAATATATATTAAAACCTTCTGATCTACCTGAATTCATTTACAAATAGATGAATAAATGATAACACAATTGAAGTTATATGTCACTACTGACTTTTTGAAAATGTTCATATCAAACAAAATTATGTAAACAGTTTCTCATTTTTTGCAAATTGCAAAAATTAGTGATACAGAAACTGACGGCTATCTGACTGCATACTGCTACTGCTTACTGGTCATGTATTTTATGTTTACTTTTATGCTAATTAACAGAATCTGCTTTGAACAAACCAAAGAAATACTATGAAATAATAATAGTAGCTGATATATTTGGCACTTAGAGGCCAGATAATATACTTAATGCTAAATACATATTAATGTATTTAATTCTACTTTCTGAAAAAGCTGCTACCAAGGTTCTTATTTTAAAATACATGGTTCACAAGTGGATGTGGCCCCAGAAGAAACTGTCTAGAGTTGCAAATAGCAGGCCAAATGGCTTTACAGCCACAATGTAATTGGCGTTTTAAGTTAAAATAATGCAGATAACTTGCAGATGAGAGAATATGGTGGGCTAAGAAAAATGTTTACTTTTTGCCATATAATATGCATCTTTAAAGACATGATATGATTCCATGTCACAAACTGTTGTAGACAAAGTTGGTGGCTAGAAATAAAGTTAGTTGGTTGGATCTAAAAAATTGGCTGGATCTGGTTTAAAACTAAAAAGGACTTAAAATCTCATGTAATGAAATAAAATTAGCATCCTGTACATGTGAACTAGAAAAATGATGTGGACTATGAAAAGGGAAAATGTTTTCTACTATCAAGTTTTTAGGTCAGAGTTGTTTAATGGCAACTTGCTTCAGTGCAGAAATGAAAACTGTGCAACTTTTAGCTACTATGACTTCTAAAATTAATTACTCAACTAAAATGGTTTTTCCTAGTCTACTGCATTATTTTCTCTTAATATTATTTCCCTGACAAATCCTTAAGTCAGTTTTCATCTTGACTACTTCTTTGCTACCACTATAAAAAAGTGCAGATGGAGCAGAGGTAAATTTTGAGGTTGAACACAACTCTGAAGTCTTCCAGCTCTATTAAATGGAATCATATGTATTTTTAAAAATTGGACAATACATACCTTTTTATCACATTTTTCACAACGATATGCATTTGCACCTTCCAATAAATCTCCTTTGATATACTGTTCCAAAGAATCAAGAAGGTTTTGGTGATTTCTAATATCTACATTCAGAGTTGTAAAAGATTCTTCACACTCGTACCTAAGAATATTTAAGAAATGATAATATAAATGTAAAAAGATAAAATGATCAAAAGGATTTATTCCTTAGGTTTCTAATTATTATTATTGTTATTTTTTAAACGTATCTTTAGAATTTCAGAGAGAGGAAAGGAGGGGGAGAGATAGAAACATCAATGATGAGAGAGTCACTGATCGGCTGCCTAGCCCGTGCAACCCGGGCACGTGCCCTGACTGGGAATCGAACCACGATCTCCTGGATCCCAGGTTGATGCTCAACAGCTGATCCATGCCTGGCTGGGCTAGGTTTCTAATTATTATCTTTAGTTGTAAATTTGATGAAAATAAATTTGCAGTATTTACTATATCATGTCAAATGTATTAATGACACAGAGTTATTAGTAAGTAATAGTTATCTTTTATTGGTCACTATATTAGACTCTTTACTTTCCCCTTCATAAAAAACCTGCTACAGGTACGTATACATCCCTATTTCACAGATGAGGAAATTGAGGCAGTGTGGGAGGAGCAGGTGTCATAGAGATTAATTTGGTTCAGTTTAGTAGACAGTGGTGATTTGAAGCTAATGCTAATTTGGCCTCATTGCTTAAGTTCTTTATATTCTCTCACACTGCTACTTGTGTCATTTGTTTAAATAGAAATTCATGGCAAGGTAAAGGTAAGAATTCATAAAGTTCATAAAAAAAGGCTATTATTTCTGTAACAGAAAACAGCAGCTAATATTTATACCATTTATATACCAGGATCTAATCTATGTGTGTCTCTAGTACTCGGCTCTACAGTTTTAAAAATAGAGAATAAATGTGGGGTGAAGTCAGCATTCCAAACTCTGATGATATCCTACTAAAGGGACTTTCAGAAATTTATGATCACACATTAATAAACTCAGATAATGGAAGATGGAAAACAAAGATTCAGCCATTAAGTCCATTCATGGAAAAGACATACCAAGAGTGCCTACCATGTTTAAAGCACCAAGGGGTATTATTTATTTATTTAAAATTTATCTTTACTGTTGAAAATATTACAGATGTCCCCCCCTTTGCTCCCCATTGACTTCCTCCACCATGTTCTTGCCCCCTCCCCAGGTCTTCACCACACTATTGAGGATATGGTGAAAAGGGAACCCTAGGACACTGCTGGTGGGAATGCAGACTGGTGCAGGCACATGGAAAATAGTATGGAGTTTCCTCAAAAACAAAAAAACAAACAAAAAACAGGAACTGCCATTTGACCCAGTGATCCCACTTCTAGGAATATATCCTAGGAAACCTGAAACACCAATCAGAAAGAATATATGCACCCCTATGTTCATGGCAGCACAGTTTACAATAGTCAAGATCTGGAAACAGTCCAAGTGCCCATCAGTGGATGGATGAGTGGATAAAAAAGCTGTGGGACGTTTACACCATGGGATAGTATGCAGTAGTAAAAAAGAATTTCTTGCCCTTTGGGACAGCAGGGAGGGACCTGGAGAGTCTTAGCTAAGAAAAATAAGCCAGACAGGAAAAGACAAGTATCACATGATTTCACTAATACATAGAATCTAATGAACAAATAAACTGACAAACTAAATAGATCCAGAGACACAGAAGCATGGAACAGACTGAGGGATCTCAGAGGAAAGGGTGGGGTGGGGATGGGGTAGGATGGGGCGGGAAGAAATTATATATAACCCATGAACACAGACAATAGTTCAGTGATATTATATTTTAGACAAAGTCTCTACATTTAAAAATCTGTAATTAAGAAAGAGAAAACAACAAGTACACAGAAGTTTTTATGAATGGCATGTTGTTACTGTGACAGAAGTCCAGAGAGAATAAAAAAGAAGTCTTAGAGGATTAATGGAATTGACAGTTTCTTCTAAAATATAGAATGCTCTAAGAAACAATGTTCTATAACATAAAAAAGACTTTGGGCTCTTAAGTAGCCCTCAAATATCTAAAAATAATTAAGACTAGTTTAGTTGAAATGTGTACTTAATTTTTAAAATTGGAGGAGTAAATATCTCCCCAACTTTCAAACGCATGGCAATATGACATGAATGGCATTATGAAATTTCTCATTTATGTAATATTATACATCCCCAAAGCATTTCCCTATCTTCAAAAGAACCTGCTCTTATCAACCGACATAGAATTAATGTTTAGAGGATTTCAAATCAATATAATATTAACTCAAGAAGTCACACTCCAAAGTAAAACTTCCACACAGTAACTATAAATGTGTGTCCATCAATTAACTTTGTGAACTATTAGTAACCAAGAGTTAAAGTTAATTATTTTCATTAGGTGCCCTAAATAAATCAATTTCTCTTTTCATTAACTTCATAATGCAGAATGCATTGTTAATTCTTGCCTTTTAAATGGCTTGATGTGTAAACATATCCAACATACCTCAAGCATGACAAATACTGATGGTAATTTAAAGGTCAACTTTTTTTTAAAAAAATATGTCTTCACTGATTTCAGAGAGAGGAAGGGAGAGAGTGAGAAACATCAATTATGAGAGAGAATCATTAATTGGCTGCCTCCTGCACACACTCTACTGGGGACGGAGCCTGCAATTGGGGAATGTGCCCTGACTGGGAATTGAACCTTATCATCCTGGACCCTAGGATGATGCTCAACCACTGAGCCATGCTGGCTAGGCTAATTTCTACAGAAAATAGTGCTTCAGAGCTGTCAGTTATCTTCCAAACTTATTGTATTTAAGATATTTCAATTATTATTTTAACTATAACATGACAGGCAAATATCTTAATAACTGTAGATTTACGGAAACTGATATTTCATGTCCTAGGATATGACAGAACATAATAATGTAAAAGAAAGCAACAACATATTCATTAGAGTAAAAAGAGGTAAAAGTTACTGAAAGTAAAAAAATATATATTGTAGTATAATGTAGGGATGTAATTCACTCACTACTGTAGGCATTTAGTAATAACTGGCATACACTGCTTTCACGCATTAGAAATAGTGAAGATTTTATTTACATTATTAAAAAAAGACCTGCCCAGCCAGTGTGGCTCAACAGTGAAGCATTGACCTATGATCCAGGAGGTTACTGGCTCGATTCCCGGTCAGAGCACATGCCAGGGTTGCAGCTTGATCCCCAGTAAGGGGTGTGCAGGAGGCAGCCAATCAATGACTCCCTCTCATCATTGATGTTTCTATCTCTTTCTCTACCATCCTCTCTCTAAAATGAATAAAAATATATTAAAAGAAGACCTACTGAAAGTACATATTAAAAACATTAAATAGCACTTACCTATGTGGGCAGCCTTGGCAAATCTTCTGATCAGCAAAGGAACCTCCTAGGACTTGACTTAACATAGCTGGATGTCCTAAAGCTTTTAGAGCTTCATCTAAGCTATCCACCAAAGAATTAAAAAATTCTAAGGCATCATGTTGTTCACGTAGATTAATAGGTTCACCCCAAAGCCTAAGGAAAAAACAAAATAAAATACTACTCTATACATATTTTATTTTTCATAACAATAACAAAAATGACATTAGAAGTATAAGCTGAGTCTTTATCCCTTCATAAAAAAAGTGGAAACAAACCAATATGTTCTGTGAATGGGGTGGCAATCATAATGGCAGTGAAGATCATAATAAAAATGGTACACCTGTGTTAAAGAATTACCATAAAATTACTGGTGTGGCTCAGATAGGTAGTGCTTGCTAAGAAAAGTGTCTGTTTTATGAAACAGTACATTCATGTATTTTTAATTCAAATAAAGAGATCATTATGACAGGGAAAAGTCACATGTTTGTTATAATTACTATTTTGATGTTCAGTTCTGCTTCAATTTTTGATGCCATACTGTGAAGTTCACAGCTATTTATGCCCAAATAAAGGGATTATTTCCAAATGAAAAGAGAAAGGTTTTCCCTGTCCTAGAGAATAGATTTAATTTTTAAAAAAATTGATTTTAGAGAAAGGGAGATAGAAATATCAACAGGTTAACTCTCACATGTGCCCTGACAGGAATAGAACCCACAATCTTAGGGATTTGGGATGACACTCCAACTGAGTCACACTAGCCAGGGCTAGAGAATGAATTTAAAACTTAGGTCCAATCTTGAGAAAACAAAATACCATGTGTGGTGTACACAAAATAAGAAATGATGTTGCTGAAACCCAGGTCATGTTAGAAGGCATTAAAAACAAACCAACAAACTTTCTAATGTTACCATGTCAGTAGTCAAACCCGTTTTTCTAAACCCTTAATTTCTTTTTATTGTTTGTTAATCCTCACTGGAGGATAGTCCTGCCCCCCACTGATTTTTAGAGAGATTGGAAGGGAGGGAGGGAGAGAAACATTAATGTGGTTGTCTTCCTCAGAAACCCCAACCAGGGCTGGGGATCGTACATGTCCTTGACCAGGAATCAAATCTGAGACCCTTTGGTGTGTGAGCCAACACTCTATAACCATTGAGCCACACTGGTCAGGGCTACACATAATTTCTTAAAACCATTTTTTTTTTGCATTACAGTACTGTTTTTCAAAGTTATTGAGTTTGTTTTTTATCATTTTGTATTAATGATTACGTTTTATTTTTTGCCATCTCTGATTTAAAAAAAATTTAATTTTGGCCCTGGCCAATGTGACTCAGTAGATAGTCAGTCCACGCATTGAAGAGTGGGGGGTTCAATTCCTGGTCAAAGGCACGTACTTGAGTTGCAGGTTTCCCAGTTCCCCGCTGGGGCACGTGCAGGAGGCAACTAGTCGAGTCTCACTCACATC